TTCTTCTTCTTCTTCTTCTTCTTCTTCTTCTTCTTCTTCTTCTTCTTCTTCTTTTCCAGTGGAGTCAATGGTATAGAAGTTAGGCTAACGAACCCGAAATAGTGAGATCGCGTGTTTGGGGGGTTTGATTCTCAGCTTGGCCCGACGTTGTGTTCTTCCGAATTCACAAACGTCTCAATTGAAATGGTCCCTTCGTACTTTAACGTTAAACTCGGAGGTCCCGCTTCTTAAAAAGCGTGTTCATAGGGGTGTTCAAATCTGTATCATTTTTCTTCTTTTTTCACTAAATTTGTTTTCCTCTTCCAGTAGCAGATCTAAAACAAACATCGGTAATCATGCTCTTTTATCCATGTCTCACCTTGAACACTTTTTCTTATAGTTACCAAATTGTTCAAGCTTTCATAACTAAGTTATTGATAGTCTTCCTCTACGTCTTTTGCCTTATTTTTTTTAAATCCAAGAAATGCTAAGATATCGTTCAAGGTCTTTTTATTGATAATATCATTGATTCAAGCGTTCGCCCGGGGCTGCAAGTGTCTCTTTTGTTTTTCTAATTGTTTTTAGTCTGTTTTTTTAAAGTTTTTTTCTTGGGGATTTTTTTTTTGCCTGACTGGGGGGTTTTTTTCCACCGACTGTAACACTTAGACTTGCTTCCACACTTCATTTTTTTGGGTTCAACTTGAACCACAAGCCCTACTTGTACAGGAACTTGTAACGGAAAAGCATACACAGACGTATACTTCTAGATTGGGCACTGTCACGGTCGTTGCTCTTTGTCCACAATCATAAAAAAAAAAATACTTTTTAAAAATTAAAAGAAACAAAGAAACAAAGAAACAAAGAAACAAAGAAACAAACAAATTAAAAACCCCCAACGAACTTCGCTGTGAACCGTGCGCAGTATGTGTCACACCTTAATTAAGCTTGATTAAATGATGGTCAATACATCAATAACGCAATTGTCAAGTGCGTGGTCTCTTTCCCTCCTTACTCTTCATTTAGCTCAAGTTGAGTTCAAAAGTGTGATCCATATTGGACCGGAATTCGGTCAGTATGCATCGTCTAGGGTATTGCAGTAATAATAATTAATAAATAGCATAATTTGTATAGCGCATGTTCCCACTCGAAAGCAAGCTCTCTGCGCTTTACAGTACTATTGCATGCGGACGGATTGAGATTGTGACGGAATAAGACTGTCGTGTGAACGATTAGGACTGATTGATCTAAGGGTGTTGTGCCTATCTCTGTGACGTCATGTACCGGGGGGCTTGCTAATTGTATCGCGTGTTAATTTCTGAGTACGTGTCCGTGTGTGTGTGTGTGTGTGTGTGTGT